GTTACCATAATCCGATTAAATTGGTTGACATGTGGGGCCCATTGATATTGATTATATTAGTAAGTCAACAATTAATTTTTTTATTTTGAAGATTATTTGTCATATCAATGTGACATAATGTTTACCGAAATTAATGGAGTTTGTTACAATTTAATTTGGTAAGGCTTTTTGGATTGATTGAAAAATAATATTTTTATTTTGATATGTATCATTTGCCAAATCTCGAGATTTTTCTGTAATTTTTAACTCCAAACAATCCGAAAGAATTGTGAAATTTGTTACCAGAAGAAATCTCAAAGCTTATCGACAATATATTGTGTTTAAATAGCTATGAAGTGTGTTACCAAAAAACCGATATCTCAAAAAATATGACATCAAAATCTGAGATTCGTTATTACAATCAGATCAAATTTGTTAACAAAATATGAGATTTGTTATCAAAATAAGATCAAATTTGTTACGAAAATTCAATTAAATTAGTTGACATGCCGTGCCCATTGATAATGCTTATATTAGTAAGTCAAAAATTAATTTTTTATTTTGAAGATTATGTGTCATAACAATGTGATATAATGTTTAGTAAAGTTAATGGAGTTTGTTACAATTTAATTTGGTAAGGCTTTTTGGATTGATTAAAAAATGATATTTTTATTTTGATATGTTCATTTATCAAATATCGAGATTTTTTCTGCAACATTTAACTCCGAACGATCCAAAAAAATAATGAAATTGTTACCAAAAGTAATCTCAAAGATTATCGGCAATATATTGTGTGTAAATAATATGAAGCGTGTTACCAGAAAAATCGATATTTTAAAAGATTTGTTATAAAAATCCCAGATTTGTTATCAGAATTCGAGATTTGTTATCACAATCAGATCAAATCTGTTAAAAATATGAGATTTGTTATCCAAATAAGATCAAATTTGTTACCAAAATCCAAATTTGTTATCAAAATCCGATCAAATTTGTTACCAGAATCCGATTAAATTGGTTGACATGTGGGGCTTATTATTACTTCTTATATTAGTAAGTCAACAATTATTTTTTTAAGTCAAAGTTACTATTTTTGTATTTTTCCAACAACCTCTTTATATTACTATAGATAACATGTGGGCCAAATGATTCCAATTGCTGCGCATGGTAGTGGGAGCTTTCTCTATATTTGTGATCTATTATTTTATTACTTAGTTTGAGAGTTCAAAAAAATTTTCCTTTTGTATATTTTTGTCCTACTAGTTTATTATTTAATTTATATATTGTTTTCTATATTTTTGTTGTATTATGTTATTAATCTATATATTGTTGGATCAATATTTACAAAAATAAGTCAACTATATGTAATATTTATAAAATATTATATAGTTTAAAATATGAATAATTTAAAAATTAAGCTAACTATATTTATGAAATATTATATATATATATAATATCAATAAATTAAATAACGGTCCAATCGGTTCAACCACTAGTCGGACCAATGAACTATTGAACCAGTAGCTTGACCGGTTCGGTGATCGGTTCGATTTTCAGAACATTGGTTTTATCCATGTCATCCAGGATTTGAGTTTATTTGCATGCCACATAAGCAAAACTAGACCCAATGAATTGTAGATGCTCTAGTTTTTTCAAAATTTATTCGAGAGACAGACAAAGATAATTGATAAGTGTAAAACAATTATGCGATAAACTATGCGACAGATAGACGAAGATAATTGTTGCGAAAAGCTATACGACAGACCAAAGATAATTGATAAAAAGTGAAATAATTACACGATAAACTGTGCAACAAACAAGAGAACATAATTGATAAAGTACAAAATAATTATGCGAAGGACAAGCGAAGATAATTGATGCAAAAAGCAATGCGACAAACATATGAAGATACTGATAAATTGCAATAATAATATGCAAAAAGTTATGCAACAGACAGATGGAGATAATCGATAAAGTACGAAATATTTATGTAAAAAAGATATGCGACAACTAGACGGAGATAATCGTTACAGTCTGAAATAGTGATGCAATAAACATGCTAAGATAATTGATGCAAAAAGCTTTGCGACAAATAAGCGAAGATAATTGATAAAGTGCGAAATAGTAATGCGGTAACCTATGTGACAGATAAGACATGATAATTGATAAACTCGGTAATATTATGCTATAAACTATGTGACACAGACGAAGATAATTGATAATGTGCAAAAATATTATGCGATAAACTATGCGAAAAAAAGGCCATATACTTATACGATATGATATGCGACTCACAAGAGAAGTTCATTTAGTAAAGTGGGAACCAGATTATGCGATAAAGATTCAAAAGACGGGCAATGTTAATTGAGCAAGTGTGAATTACTTAAAGGATAAAGTGTGCGACAAACATACAAAGATCATTTAGCAAGTGCGAAACAATTTATATTGTAAAGTATGCAACAAACATATGAAATTAATTTAGAAAATGCGAATTACTTATGCGATAAACAATGCGACATATAGACGAAGTTCATTGAGCATGTGCGAAACAATTATAACATAAAGCATGCAACAGACAGGCAAAGTTAATTGAGAAAGTGCAAATTATTTATGCAATAAACTATAGACAGACAAGAAAAGATAATCGAACAAGTGAGATCTCATTATGCGACAAATTACACGACAAATAGGTGAAGATAGTCGAGCTAGCGTGATATCATAATTCTATAAAATACACGACAGGCATGAAAAGATAATTGATAAATGTGAAATATTTATGCGACAACTATGAGAAAGAGAGGCGAACAAAATTGAATAATTGCGAACACTCGCGCGCCCATCAGGATGCACCGTTTTGAGGGAGTTCATACACTTTTCGAAGCAGCAAGAAAACGGATGCGCGTTAGCGCAACGACTTTTGCCCTAGTTGCTACATTTCTTGTATGTAGAATGTAAGCGATGAAAAAAATCTCTCCTTTTGGCAGAATGGCATAAACTACGTGACAAACAATTCAAGATAATTGATAAAATGTGAAACATATTATGCAATAAAAAAGATGACAGATAGGTAAATAGAATTTAGCAAGTGCGATATAGTAATCGATAAAATATGAGACAGATAGGTGAATTTAATTGAGGAAGTGCATAAAGATGTAGAAATTGTTTGAACTGTTCGGTCAATCGTGGGTCAATCGGATATTAGTTGCAGATCAGCTTCTTGCATATTTTTTTTTTAAAAAAAAATAGCTTTTTGGTACTATGACCGCCTATAGCAGCTCATTGTGCCAACGTATAAATTCATTTTTTTTTCCTACATGTAAATTGCCCCGGTTAGATTGATAGGTGGTAGAGTTACAAAAAAATTGCCAAAAGCAAGAAGGGCTTTTCTACAGTCAGGTACCCTTGTACTTTGGCTTGTACTTACCTAACAACAGGTACCTTTTAAATGAACGCCATGTGTCCTTTTCTTAATAAATAAAAAAAT